ATTGGTAAGAAAATAGGGCTTTTTAATTGTGTATCGCGGTTTTCATCACAGTGAACTAAGATATTAGCGTATAATAGTATAATTTTGCCTCATTTTTCTCATGTTTGTTCATTGCTTATATCTTGTACAAAAGAAGTTTTAAATAAGTTACAGCTACAACAAAATAGGATTATAAGAACCATACTGAATTGTGATAGATATACTCATATTAGACTCATGTTAGACCAGCTAAATTGGCTAAATGAGTAAGTTTAATGTTGGCTTATGGAATTGCGCGCGCTCACCAAATGAAGGTCGGAAAAAAAGTACTATTTTTATGAGAGTAATATACGTTCGAAGCACAACTTCAATGTTTCTTTGGTAAAAACTACAAATTTACGGAAAACTCTATTCTACGATGGTGTTCGTAATTTTAATGAACAGATAATATTAAAAACGCGCCTTAGCTAAGACTATTCAAAGAGAGGCTTGCGAAGTATTTGCGAAGTTCATAGTTTATTTATGTAATTAGCCAAGTGCTAAATAAATTTGTCATTATTATTATTATTGTAATTAAAATATAGATTTAATGAACAACAGATAAAATGATCAAATAGTAACTGACTAGTACATTATACATTAAAAGCGATATTCTCTTAGTAACTTCTTGTTCATGCCTTGTCTATAAACTGATAAACTTATATACTGCCTAACTTACGCTTACTTACTAGTTGCATTATGCTTACTTTTACAGTAATAATGTAAAAATCAACTGACTACATACCATTAGTGTTTTAAATCTACCGAAAAACATCGGAAACGCTCATAGTGACTCACTACAATAAGTTGAATAGGGAGCAGAAAAAATAATTCGTATGCCTAAGGGTCAGTGTATCTTGGATAGTGGATTTATTCTAACATTACCTTCCACTGACTTATCAATATTCTTGATATGTAATAGTAATAACAAAAATGATTCTGCGGTTATCATGTGTCCCTTGCGCCCTGTTGCACACCTCATTACGTACTGCTTCCGTTACTAGGATAGGATATTTGGCTGTTTTGTACAAGACTTTCTTGTGTACTTGTTACTCATTTTTTGTAGAATTGCTTCATCCAGTTGAGTAGTAGGCATCCTTTAACACATCCTACTGAATCTCATGATGTTTTGTGAATGTAACTTCTGGAGTCAATAGGAACATTTTGTGTCTACCTTATAGATAAATTTCCTTAATTTTATTGTTAAGTTATGTTAAATGCGCTAATGTTCTAGTGAATGCAGGGCATTTAGTATCCCATCGTCTATTTTTAGCCGCCACCCTATGATCCTTGTAAGTCAAAATGAAGTTTCGCGCTAAATTTTCTTTATCGATATTGACCCCCCATATAACCTCTGCTAATATTTCAATTATTTTAATTGCTGGAATTGTTACATACCTCGGGAAATGATTAATTCATCTTAATTGTATGCGTTGCATTCGTCCAACACGTTTTCCATGGTTACCTATCATGACTAAATCAAAAGAAGCAATCAGAATAAAGATATAAATTTGAACAAATTGGTGACAAACTTATTTAAAGTTAAAAATTTTAAATTTGTAATTCGTAAAAATGGTAATAATATTTTATTGAGTATATTACGTAAAAATTGTAAGGAATGGAACAGCCAAAACAAGATCAGTTTACCAACAGACACCCAAAAACAATAAAAGTATTTCTTCAATAGCATAAGCAAAATTTTTAAGAAAAAGAATTTACGATTTGCCTTAAAATTATTAAATTTTCAAACCTCTACCCCGGTTAGGAGCTTTTTGTCCAACTTAACATTTGAGGAATTAACCTTTTATTTGACATAGTTGCTAGGTGTGATCTCATATCATTGATTTTTTTATTAGGAAGATTAATCATCTTTAATAATGTGAATTTCAATTGCAAAGGCTTTATTCTCTGGGCTAGAACTAATGGCCTATAAATTCGAATCAACCTTTTTAGAAAAGAACGGAACTACATTGATTCTGGCGATAAACAACAAAAGTTGCAAACTCGGTTTGTATTTTTTAGTTTATTAAAAAGTATAGTAATAGTGTATTATGCAACAAATGGGTACATTTTTGTATAACAAAACGGACACTTTCACTGACATGACTGTCACAATTGAGCAACGTCAATATTCCGAAGTGGCTCTCAGCCGTAGGTAACGAATCAATAATGAAATTGTCGTACATAGAATGGGCAAAAAACGAATACTGTAATACTTGAATTGGGGAATTAGAGAATCCCTTAGTATATTTTGGTGTGAAAATATTCTTGCCACGTTTCACGTTTCATGATACAGAAAATAACCTTTGTGTACGCCACTGCGTTATACAAAATCCAAAACCAAAGTGGCAGTTTTCCATTGCTTTGTTCATCGCTCGTCCGCAAATGTATTCACAATGGGAGTGAAAATTTCATCCAAGTTTATAGTACTGTCTTATTCCGTCTCGCTTTATGTCTTTCTCCTTCTATTTTGGATTGTTCCAGATACGCTATCGCAATTAAGCCTTTATCAGGACCCTTTTGTGACGCATAAAAGAAATAGTTTCATTACAAATTTAGTTGGATTTTATTTTCTGCTGATTCCCTAAAAGTAGAACAAAATAGGAAAACGTCCCGGGAAATCCGGTTTCGTTTTAAATGGTCGGTTTCGCGTATAAACGTTGATTATGCTTCACAAGATAATGGGGTCTCCGATTTCTAGGCAAATTTAATAATCGTATAGACATGTTGATTGCAAGTAATTGCGGAATCTGTGTCAAACGAAACGGCTCTTATACAAATACATAAAATGGTGAAATTATGACTCGAGGCAAGGGAATAATTCATTTCGCGCCGGGATACCTAAAACTTTAGTACCGAGTGGGTAATAATGAAATAAAGAGGGTATTCCTTAGGGTGCGGATAGCCCTTAAGCTAACGCAGAATTTTTTTAACGTTAATCAATAATGAAATGTAATAATAGTTGAGCGAACATGCGAAATAAGCCAAATATGAAGCCAGACTTTTGTTCCCTTTTATAGAAAGACTGTAACAGTAGATTTGTTAATTGTTCGGATTCAAAGCTATCTAATTGTTTGTCAATAGGATATAAATCGTTAGTAGGAGAAAAGATTTGACTAAAACCTTAATATATTTGATATAACTCTCTATAGTCAACTTGTGTTTCATTTCTTTTTAAGTTCATTGAATGTAGGAATTAGGTTAACAGCTATTCTTTTTTCTAAGCTTGCGCGTACAGATTTTCTTGTCATTTAAGAGAAATATTAAGTACATTTTGCTTTTTATGTAGCTATGCTGTGTTTCTTATTGCCTTAAACGTAAGTGTATGTGCATGGTAAAAATATATTCTAGACAAGCATTTTTTAACTAAGATGAGAAAGTTTGCTTCCGGATTCTCTCATTTTAATATATCTGACATTATGTTCTGAGTTTCAGCAATAGGGACTTTAGCGAAAAGGGATTCTATGTCGAAACTAACCAGAGTAACCTGTGGATCTAATGTTATGCTTTTTTATTGTTCAATGAAATGAAGGAAATTAAGTACGAAACTATCAGTTCGAACTTAATTTCCATATGTTGAAGACCCGATGGTGGTGAAAATGGGCCGAAGGGGTAATCTTGATTTGTCAATCTTATTGAGTCCGTAAGTATAGTTGTGATGGGTGACTTTTTCACGGATTCTAATAGAGAAGAAGCCTTAATAACAGATTTCAGGTTGCGTCCTATAGAATAAGTAAGATGTTTGAGATGTAAGATGTAAGAAGATAAGTAAGATGTTTTTTAAGTTGACAATAACATCCTTCTGTAAAATATTTCTTAGTTGTCTTGATGATCACAGTTTAGTTCGTTCAGGCTATACCAGTTTTGGTTAATTTGTTTTTGGTAGACTTAAAATTTGAAACGATTTCCTTCTTTCGGATAATACATGGGGCAAGGGCGAAGTTGAAACGTTTTGCATTAACTGATTTGAAAGCGCGTTTAATTTTACCATGGCGTTCACCGAACACGAACAATTGTTGTCAATTTATAAACGTACAATCAACAGTATCTTTTTTGGAAAATTTGTAGCCGTCATGTACGACGCAGGGTAGATAATTAATTGGTACCTCGGTGCTGTGCTTTTGAAACTTCAAACCTTTTCTCAAAATTATTTTCAGTAAATATTTGCAAAAAAGGAGCAGAATTAATTGCTATTATATAATAATTAAATGTTGGTATACGGCTATTTTCATTTGCTTCGCTCCGTCAAACAACAACAAGACAAGCTGAATAAAAGAATAAAAATATGAGAGTAGTTTCCTCTGAATTACTTTATAAATTTTTGAGGGACCGGAAAATTAAACCAGTAATCATGATGTGACGGCAACGACGCAACCACTGTACAAAAAATTAATTAAACTTTAAATATAAATTAATTTATTCATTTTAATTAACGGAATCTAATTGCTTCATTTCTTTTGTGAGGCCTTAACTTTTTTATTTACTTTAGTTAACGGAGTTACGTTCGGTGTACAACGGAGGGGAGGTAAGAATTGTTTGCTTAAACCCCAAATAACCCCAAAACCAGTAATATGTTCAACCAGAGCACATTTTTATGGAAAATTGTTTAAAAAATATCATTTCGGGCTAAAAAATTAAAAACATTCCCCCCTTCTGCAACGTTCCTGTACAAAATAATACAATTTTGTGAGCAGTAACTTTAATTACCCAATTTAAACTTTTTAAAAATCTTGATACTCTTGTTCTCTCCATGTTTAACAACTGGGATGTCATATAAGGGCCTTGTTTGACGGCCACAATTACGACCTACCTCAACTATATAATGATCTACACTATTCCCTCAATGTGGATAAGAATAACAAGTGTATTGTGTTGGACTACTTGAGTGAGACTGTGTCGACTACCAAGAGTGAGAGACGGTTAATTATTATATTATTTTCTTTCTATTTGGAGGACGTATCGACCTTATTTATTCTGACTACGGAACCAACTTTGTTAAGGCTAACAAGACTGTCACCAAATACGCCGCACAAGCAGCTGCAAAGGTATCGATCATCGGCATCATCGGCATTTCAGTTCACCTTCCGCTTCCCGTTTTTGTGGGCTGTGGGAATCCAACATAAAATCTGTCAAATCTCATTTAACCCGTGTTCCAGAAAAGCACCTTCTAACCTACGAAAAACGTTACAGGGTTTTTACACAAATCTAAGCAATTGTTAATTCTCAAACCCTTACGCCCACTGTAATGACCCAAACGATTTTGCTGCTTTAACGCCGGATTATTCGTTGATCTGTGCCTCCAGAATCGAATGTTTAAATGGCTCCAATTAATCAACTCACGCGATGGCAGCTGTAAACAAAGTTGCAACAGCATTTTTGGACTCATTGGTCTATTGAGAATTTGCATACCCTTCACCAAAAAAAAATGGCACGTGTCGTCTTCAAATCTGGCGCTTGGTAAATTAATCGTTATTAAGCAAGAAAACGTTCCGCCTCTAACATAGCCGATGGGTAGAATAGTGGAAATCTTTCCGGGTACCGACGACATTTTCAAACTACCAGCGATCAAGCTGTACGATACCAATTGACGAGGGCTAAAATGCTGCGCATTTGGTGGGCGGCTATAGTCCGGCCACAAAGTCTGTGTGTCCTCCAACGTGTATATTTTATTATCTTATTATTTATTTATTAATTTCCACTTTATCTAAATTTATAAATTATTAAACTAATTGAACTACGTTCGATAGCTTAGATATATTTCAATTTAAAACCAAGCGGGTATGTTTAACAAAATGTAACAAAAATACGCGATCGACGGAAAGTGCGAAGCCGCACGTCGATTGAGATGGTGTTAGTACAGTTATCCAATGCCATCAATTTTTTACCTTAAAGTGAGAACCAAACTATTGAACAAGAGGATATGGGACTTAAAGGAAGCGGTTTCTTTCTTCTTAAATTTTACAACAAGTTACAACACATGTATCTATAAAACCATTTGAATCAAAAATTAATATTATATGGCCCACTGCGCGCCGTCAAATCTATAGTTAGGCAATTTTAACGTCGAATATTAATTTGAGAAATATAGTTTACGAGACCGGTCCTTAAAGTCCGATTTAATTACAGGATTCCTTCCGCGTTATACATGACTTGTCCTTAATTGAAATTTTCTCTGCGAGAACAAAGGTTCGCGTCGCTATTTTTCCTTTTGCCGTTTCTTTCTGAATTTCGTACTAGACATTTTACCAGCCACCCTTAAATTATTAAAGCAATTAAGGCTCTTTAAAAATCATAATTAGTAAAAATTATTTACGTTGGGGGCAAAGTTCTGGAAATGTTTTGTTTCGCACAAGATTCATAAGCGGAATGATAAATCTTTAATTTAGCTCGGGGATTTTTAATTGCGCACTGTTGCTTACAGAAGCGTTGAAATTTCGTAGTTTTCGGTAATACCGCATCGACGTATCGCTAACGAAACTCGATAACGGTAAAGAAAACGTTGAAGTGAAGTTGCAAGGGTGGTGTCGAAAGAATTTTTGTACACAGTGATTTTAATTAGTCGGTTAATTTCGACAAGAAAAATTATAAGAAAAGACGGGCATGCAGCGCCCAGATGAATCTTTTTGATGATTTCTACACTTATCTTTACAAAAAACAGAAGACGTTACAAAATTCCCCTGTGGTTTAAACTTTACTTTCATATTCGTCGACTACCTATCTACATATAGAAAGAAAAAAAAACTAAAACTACCCCTCAAACAAAACTAAACAGCTAAAAAGAACAGTTAATTTAAAAAAAAAAATTGAAAGTAACCAGGTTTTTAGTTTATTTAGGTACTTATCCTTACAAAAACCCGAAGAAAACGCAAAGTTCCCATATGGTTTAAACTAAACTTTCATATTAGTTCAGTACCTATCTACATATACAAAGAAAAGAGAAAAGAAACCTAAACCCCTCTTACAAAACCAAACAGCTGAAAAGGCTAGTACATTTTTTTTACATTTTTGAAAGTAACTAGGTTTTTAGTTTATTTAGAAAATAATTTTTTCTACTCCCGTCTGTAAAATACCTAATTAAACACCGATCTATCGCGCAGGAAGCGTCACTTTACCAAGTCAATTTCGTTTCCCACGAATCCAAGCCACTTCGGACATTTCCGGGATTTTACCCCACTGGTTTAGGAACAATCGGAGATATTTCCCATGCCTTCAAATTTGACGTTTGTCAATTCTGACGGTCATTTCAGTGAATTGGTTAGTGGTGTTGTCCCCAAAAACTAACAGTCGTAGAAAAGGTATAGTATGCAACACGTTTGGTTTTTAAGTCACTCGTGAGTCAAATGCCGTTTCCGGCACTTGTTGCAAAATGTCATTTTACCAGGTCAGTTTTATCTCCCACGGACCAAAGCCACTTCGCCTATTTTTGGGAAATTATCGCAAGGGTTTGGAAGAAATCGGACGTTTTCGTAGATTTTGTGAATTCTGACAATTATGATCGTGAATGTATTCGTGTTGTTTTGCAAAAATTTATCTAAAAAATAAGGGTAGTATAAAAGCTATACTATGCAACAGGTTTGACAAATATACTCGTGGAACATACTATATTCTGAACATAGTATATTCTGAAGGATAGTCAAGAATAGCCAAGTCGTAAATGAAGGGTCTTTCAAATATAGCGCATCGATGACGAGGGATAATGTCCCCTTCATATCTTAGACTTAAGTTGTCCTAAAAGTTATTTTTTAAGTCGTTTTAATAATTTTGAAATACCTGCATTGTTCAGCTTTGGGGTATTCCACTACGATTGATGTAAATGAACCTGAGGCAGCATTTTTGATTTTTTTTCAATACGTTACGAAGAGTTACCAATGCCCATACACAACGTTGCATAACGCTTTTTTAAATTTCTTGTTACAAAATGCCTTGAGCTATACAATCTTTTTCGACGAACAATAGCCTTTTGTGTACAAGCCTCGATGTATTTTGCAAAGGCAAGTTTTGTATCTAAAAGTAACCCGAATTTTTTTGTTCGTTTTCTAATGTCTATTGTCTATGGTTATGACCATTTCAGAAACAAGACACTTATCATTCACCGGTTGACCGAAAAATATTACCTTAAATTTTCTTGGGATCCAAGCTGTAAGCGAGAGGGGCAAAAACATGGTAAAATAAGAAACAGAACAGGAGCTGAAATGGAGCAGACTGAACACCGTTCAAGATCACATTTTGATTTCTCCCTGTCAAGTAGTTTTTTAGGAAATTCACGAATAACTTCCTAAAACACAGATATTTATTAATAGTGAACAGAATAAAAACTAATAGTAAAAACCCCGAAGTAGTCGAGTTGGACCAGAACGTACCTTCATCAATCCCTCTAATGTTGTCATATGTCACATTAAGAAAAGCAATTTACTACTTCAGTTTATGGGACACCTTTTATAACCTTAGATAATATTAGCAGAATCAAATTGGGTCTTAAATCACTAAACGACTTCGAGTTGTCAATTTTAGGAAGAGTCTGTCATGATCCCCGCTCTAGGTTGAATTTGAGTGGGAGATTGTGCAATTTCTGATTCAGAAACCACAGAATACTGAAATTTGTCTTAGTTTAATGTTCTATATATGCTTTTGTCTAAGCTCTCTATAACCGACCTCATTTACAGTTTTGTTAGTTTTGTACATACATTCGGCTTTGCTGCTTAATTTTATGAAAAACTACTTTTAAGCGATATAGAGCAAAATCGACTTGACTGTTATAAAAAAAATTATGAATTTCAGATAGATGGGTCCTACTGTACGAGAATATGTGAGAACAAATAGCATGAACTGGATAAAATGGGTGTATATTAAAGTCTGAGAAGTTGTGCAGTTACGTCATGTATAGTGACGTAATCAAAAATGATCCGCATGTCTTAGCTATATGGCTACCATAACAGAAAGACAAATAAAATTCCTGTGTCAATTTACGACATACAAAAATGAACAAAATATAGGTGTCATGCTATGACGTAACTGACGTAAATAAAACATTAAAAAGGCAAATAATTTATTAAAGTAGATTTTTCTTAAGGGCAGCTTTAGTCAGTAATGACTGGAGAAGGTTATCAACGTATTGCATACTCTAATTTTTCTAAGCACATTTACGGTAAATTTTTGCAATACACCACGATTACACTCACTGTAACAGTATCTAGCCCGTGACTAAAGTACGGGAAACGCCCGAAGTGCCTGTGTGACAGTGACGAATGCTTATAAAAAATCTCTTTATTTTCTTCGAAATTATCGCAATGTTTGAAGCATTTTTTTGTGATTCAAAGTTTCTTATGACGGTTTAAATTAATTCTCATTAAATAAAACAAGAAAATGTATGAAAACTTGAATTACTTATTCTGTTTCAATGTTCTTGCTTTATATTTTTGATATAAGACCCAAAAAAGTTTACGTTCACGAAAGCACGAATCTGGATAACCGTTCTTCTTTTTTGAGTTGTTCAGCAACCCGGTCGGCTTACCTGGAGAATCCTTTGCAGTTTATGATACGGCCATATCGATAAAATCAAATAATATATCGTCAAAAAATCGATTCTCCGGTCATAAATCGTAGTCCTATATAGTGACGTTTATTGTTAAGCACCAATATCTCTTTATCTGGCGCGTTACGGGATTTAGCCGAAACAATGCCTCCATAATTTAAAACCTGGTCGATGCGCGTTTATAGCAGCAACACTGAAGTGTGTCACTGTAAAAAAGTGGAATGCTTAGTGTGTTTAATTAAAAACTGGGTTTGCAACCGCAACTGATGTTACGTTCGTTTTGGACATTTGTTTCGCCGATCAGATGAGATTCATCAACAGATAATATAGACCGCTTTAATGGCAATTAATTTAATAGTAATAACATCCCGTAACAAAGGTAGATTTTCAATGATCGGGGCTGCGATTGGCAATCAATCTGTAACCGCTTTTCCAGAACGGCGACTTTTTGAGATCTGAGGCAGTCGGAGTTCTAATAATAACAATAATACTTTATTGATATTAACAATTTATATACATACATAAATATAAAATACTATAAAACTAGGGAAAAACATTAACATTGACGAATAATTAAGCAGAGAAGCTTTCACTTTATTGCAAAATTGCCTTTCGGACCTGGCTGTAGATCACTACCTAGTAGCCGATTAAGAGTACTAGGAGCTCAATTTATTGAGCATGACTATCCAAATTCCCCATGAAAATGGTAATGTACTTTCTTGAAAGTATAGGGCTCTTCTAGGGGAGGAAGCGAAGAATTGCGGGCATAATGGATAGGAAAGTCTGAATGTATCTTCCTGGCCGCTAGCAGATTATAATTTTGGACAAAATGCGTTATAAAGTTCCACGTTCGCAAATTATATCTTTTCGTTAATTTATTCAGGTTGAAATTATTATTTTCCTTGTTAAGTCTTCCTGAATGATTGTGTGATGCAGCGTGAAACGTGAAAAGAATAGGCGATATTAAGATAGAAAATGGAATAACCGCATCTTTTATTAGAAGAGAAATGATCCAGAAAAGATTAGGAGTTTTTCGATATCCTTTCAAAAATTTTACTTTTCTGCGGCTTTTCTGTTGTAATTTATCAAACTTCCCTACTTTGTCATTAGTTAAGCAAAACTGCATCTCTTAATATCTTCAATCTTTATAATTACAAATTAACTGAGCATAATTTTAATAATTCGTTGATATTTTACTGTTTTTTTTTATTTCTGATTGAAACTTTCGGAATACAATTTAGTTCAGTGCAGTATCTGTCGCAAAAATTTCTATTCATTAATTCATTTATGGGGAAATATACATCGAAAACCACTTTTGAAACACATTATCGTTAATTATTTTATATAACTAAATAAAATTTGGATGGCCATCTGTTATTTAAAACCTGACAGTTTTCAAATAAATAACAAAATATTTTGTCGTTATATTCTGAGAACCTAAAAAGTCCGTTTAAAAAAAAGTGAGAAATATGGTGCATATTACATTTTGGGAAGAATTTTTTGATTCACTATTTAGCAAATTCCGAGATAAAATATCTAAAATATATATCTATAGCATAGTTGTTGCCTGGGAAAACTATGACATTGTTCGACCTTATTACAAAGGCAGTTTATTTGAGGTAATTTTAATATATTTACTTTATTTTAAAATCCTTTTAATGTTATTAATCATATGAAATTTATCATAATCTTTGAACATGTTTTGTGATTCCTTAAGTAAGTGCACAGAAGATTTTTCAATTCAGAAATTAAACACTCTGGTTAGGTTAAGATAAGCATTAATTTAAAAAGATCACGTTGCAACATGGTATTGTAAGTATATTAACATTTTACTAAAATTGTTTTTTTATGTAATTTTTCTGAAAACGGCATTAAATTGGATGTTCCATCTCTTGAAGCGGTTCGACATATTTATAGTTGATCATTTTGTTTAAAAGAAGCAAAATTAGTCAATCCACAATAAAAAACATCATTTTTTTTAATTAATTAAAATAAAAAAAATAAAATCTAATTTTTTCGACATGCTGAATTTCGAAAACTAAGCGAAATTCCAATTTTTCTCAAAATTCGTTTTGTCAGAGAAATTAG